GGAAAGAGAAAAACAAAAAAGTAGAAAATTTTGAAGGTGTTATGTACCTAGGAAACTGAAGAGAATAGGTAGATATATCGTGAGCATTCACAAATGTTTAGCCAAGTTTCTGGAATTAAAGTCAATATGCAAAAACCAATGGCATTTCTCTACACCAGCAACAAATAGCCATGTTTTTAGGTGCCATTTCTATAGCATTGATATGAATTATCAAAAAAAATTTTGTATAAAACTATAAAATATGGAGATAAATTTTAAGAAACCTAAACAAATGAAGTTATACCATGTTCATGAACTGGAACACACAATATTGGGAAGTTGAAGTTCCGTAGATCAGTTTTTCCAAATTGATATATCGATCCCAAGTACAGTAGTCCCCCCTGTCAGCAGGGGATGCCTGGAACTGCAGATGGTACCGGGCCCTATATATACTGGTGTGTTTTTCTTTTCTTTTACTTTGTTTTTATTGTTGACACTGTATTGTATTACAGATGTCCCCATCCCCCCACCTTTGCCCACCTCTATCCAGCCCCCCCATTCCCTCTGGCCATCAGCACACTGTTGTCCGTGTCCATGGGCTATGCATGTATGTTCTTTGGCTAATCCTTTCACCTTCTTTCACCCAGTCGCCCCTCCCCTCTGACAGCTGTCGGCCTGTTCCATGTTTTTTTCTATATATACACACCTTTTCACTGAAAGGAAGCCCATCACAGCTTCTCTCTGGCACATCTGAATTGCCAGCATCACTACTCTTTTTTTTTTAAATATATTTTTATTGATTTCAAAGAGGAAGGGAGAGGGAGAGATAGAAACATCCACGATGAGAGAGAATCATTGATTGGCTGCCTCCTGCACGCCCCCTACTGGGGATTGAACCCACAACCCGGGCATGTGCTCTTGACCGGAATCCAACCCGGGACCCTTTAGTCTGCAGGCCGACGCTTTATCCATTGAGCCAACCCGGATAGGGCCGGCATCACTTAGGGGCTGTTAGGAAGTCAAATAAGGGCAACTTGAACACCAGCCCAGCCGGACCACGCCGGTGGATCCGGGCTACAAGCGACCAACGGGCGGGTACGTCCTGTAGGTATTAACCACGTTGAAGACGTTCACAAAACAACGCATCCGTGGTCTCATTCCAGATCCGCCAGTGGCATCAGCAGGGGCTGCCTCTTGGTCAGTATTCGACGGAGAACGCCATCATGATCCAGAACGGCCTGCCCTGGCCTCTGCTGATTGACCCCCACACGCAAGCGTATCACTGGATCCGCCAGATGGAAGGGCCGCGGCTGCAGGAGCGCTCCATCCGGGACAGCGATTACATCAGGACGATTGAAAAAGCTATGCAGGCAGGAGGGAGTGTCCTCCTGCAGGTATGTGCCCCCAGCGGCCGGCTTCCCTCGTCCCAGGCCGCGGACACACACATAGTGTGCACTGAGCAAAAAGCCTGAGTGAGGCCTTAAAGGAAGTAGTAGGTCAACTCCTTTGGGGGGAAAGACATGCATCTACACGGTGAGTTTTCAATGTCCAGCTCTCTCAGGTCTGTCCTTTCCTGGTGTCCAGATATTAATAAGATTCGTATGTATGGGAGTGGGGTGGGAGGGCAATGGGGGGGATATGGACACATATGCAATACCTTATTCCAGCGGTTCTCAACCTTCCTAATGCCGCGACCCTTTGATACAGTTCCTCATGTTGTGGTGACCCCCAGTTTCATTGTTACAAATTGAACATCATTAAAGCATAGTGATTCATCACAAAAACAGTATGTCATTATAGATGTGTTTTCCAATGGTCTTAGGTGACCCCTGGGAAAGGGTCGTTCGACCCCCACAGGTTGAGAACCGCTGCTTAGTCAATTAAAAAAAATGAGAAAAGATTCACATTTCTTAAAGCTATGTCTTTTCCACCGATTCATTCTGTGTAAGATGAACTTGTTTAACTCCCATCTATGGGGTTTTTCAGGATCTCCCTGAAACCTTGCCTCCAAGTCTGAAGAGGATTTTGAAGAAGGACATCTACCAGAGAAGAGGCCAGTCTTTCATCCGGCTCAATGATTCTGAGATTGAATATAATTCCAAATTTAGGTAAGGTCCTAGTCCACTGAGCCAAACGTTTCTGTTTTCTCAGACCGTCATGTTGAAGGTCCTGTTTCAGCCCTGATAAGCGTCCCCTGGGGGGAGAAGCAAGATTGCATTTTGAATGTTCTTCTTTTGTTCGTGTTTTCAGTTGCTGTGTCTTGGCCCTCAGTATACAGAACAGAGAATGAATTGTTGTTTATTCAGTCATTGCACACTGATATTTTTCCACCTGTGCCTGGCGAAGCATGGGTCTCCACGGGGTTTTCAGAAACTGTGCAGGAAGGACAGCAAGTGGGAGGCCTGGCCCTACCTGACCCACGGCAGCTTGATTTGATCCGTTAGCCCTGTGGTTGGCAAACTGCAGCTCGCTAGCCACATGCGGCTCTTTGGCCCCTTGAGCGTGGCTCTTCCACAAAATACCACATGCGGGCGTGCACATACAGTGCATTTGAAAGCCAGGAGAGGTTGCTGGGTGAGGGGGTAGCCGGCCAGGAGAGGTTGCTGGGTGAGGGGGTAGCCGGCCAGGAGAGGTTGCTGGGTGAGGGGGTAGCCGGCCAGGAGAGGTTGCTGGGTGAGGGGGTAGCCGGCCAGGAGAGGTTGCTGGGTGAGGGGGTAGCCGGCCAGGAGAGGTTGCTGGGTGAGGGGGTAGCCGGCCAGGAGAGGTTGCTGGGTGAGGGGGTAGCCGGCCAGGAGAGGTTGCTGGGTGAGGGGGTAGCCGGCCAGGAGAGGTTGCTGGGTGAGGGAGTAGCTGGCGTACAGAATTCGAGGACAATTGTAACGAGCCCTTTCCCGATGCGTTTACCTTCTTTCCAGGCCTCGGGCAGACTGGCTCTGTCTGCTGCTGGCCCCTGGGCCCCCTCTCACCCTTGAGCAGGGCTGCCAAGTCCTCACGCCTTAGGGTTCTGTCTCCAGCTCCTCCCACATCTACCAAAGCACGTTCCTCAAGGGATGTAGTAGGTGTCGCTCAACAAAAAGGGGTCCCTCTACTTTTTTAAAGCTCTGAGTTTAACGAACTTCAACAAGATTCCTCCCGACGAGGACCTACAACCCCTCCGCTTGCTGGGCCTCTCCAGAGAGTGGCTTCCCGCAGAACACACTCAGGAAAGCTCCGTGTCACCCACCCTCTCCCCCTCGCCGAACACCATGCCATGGATTAGGCAAAGCCCTGGAGGTGCTAACGAGGCAGCGTTTTCCTGAATCAACAGCCTGGTCTGGTGTCAGAATTGGGTGTCTGGGATGTGGTAGAGGTCTCTAGATTGGAGGGCAGACGGGCAGCAGAGCCTACCTGTCACTCTCTGGCCACGCGTCCCGGGCCACTTCCTTAACCTAAGTTGCCGCTTCACCCCCTTCCCCCCCATCGAGAGAAAAGAGGATTGTCTCTCGCTCTGTCAGGTTGCAATGAAGTCTGACACCTCCTGACCAGCAATGAAGTCTGACCCCTCCTGACCACGCACCCTGGTCCCACCTGCTCCACGTCACCATCTCCCAGCTTGTAACCAGCCGCCTCCCTCTGCACACACTGCTCTCAAGAGAGCAGATAGATTTGTCCTGTTAAGAACAAATCCTGTCACTCCTCTACTTCAGACCCCTCGCCGGCTTCTTCCTCCAGGGAAAAACCAGTCTTATCGTGACCTACGGGCAGGTCAAAGCGCCTACTATGTGGCATTCATCTTTACTGCGTCCTGAATTGCAGGCCAAAATGTAGTACGAACATCATGCGTGGTTGCGTTTTTAAAGTCCTGCGTAGCAAATGTATCCCCAGAGTACAAACTCACAGAGAGCCACCTTGTGTACAGGGTAGAAGAGCGCTGAAAATGAGTCTTGTTTACTTCCAGGAGAAATACCTTTTTCATTATTTAAAAAAAAAAAAAAGTGGTTTCATGTTCCCCTTCAACTAACCTTCGATGACACCTTTCTCGTGTTCCAGGTTATACTTATCTACAGAAATAGACAACCCGCACTTCCCTCCCGCCGTCTATAACTCCGTCAGTGTCATCAACTTCACGGTGACCTTCCAGGGTTTGCAAGATCAGTTCCTGTCCACCATCGTCACTCACGAAGTCCCTCACCTGGAAAATCAGCGCTTCCAGCTGCTGGAGAGCATTTCCCTGGATGCGATGACTCTTGAAGAACTGGAGGAAAAGACGCTGAATTTGCTGGAGAACACACAAGGCAAGTTACGGCGTGGAGTGGCGCCCTGGCCGGTGAGGCTCAGTGGGTAGAGTGTCGGCCCTCGGACTGAAGGGTCCCGGCTTCGATTCCGGTCAAGGGCAAGGTCGTCAGTTGCAGGCTCAATCCCTGGCCCCGGCTGGGGCGCATGCAGGAGGCAACCAATCGATGTGTCTCTCACATCAATGTTTCTCTCTCTGTATCTCTCCCCTCCCTTCCACTCGCTCTAAAAATCAATGGTAGCCTTTAGTGAGGATTAACAAAAATGTGCAGATAATTCAGGAACAGCCAAATGCAAGACATTCATAGGGCAGAGTATAGGGAAAGGGCACACAGCCTCCTTGCTCTCTCCATGACCACTCTTCCCAAACCCGCGTGTTCACCAGCCCGGACCTCTGCCACTCCGTCTGGGGTGTGTGGAGGCCTGATGCACTGACTCATTGGCCATGGCTGACCAGCCCACCTTCGGCCCCTCTCCCCTTCCCAGAAAGCAGGGCACCCTTTTCATGGGATGAGCAATCAGTCTCATTGGTCATGATCACTTGTATTTGTTTTGAAAATAGAGAACAGCCAAAACCGGTTTGGCTCAGTGGATAGAGCATCTGCCTGTGGACTGAGAGGTCCCGGGTTCAATTCCAGTCAAGGGCATGTACCTGGGTTGTGTGCACATCCCCAGTGGGAGATGTGCAGGAGGCAGCTGATTGATGTTTCCCTCTCATCGATGTTTCTAACTCTCTATCTCCCTTCCTCTCTGTGAAAAATCAATAAAATATATTTTAAAAAAGAAAATAGAGAACAATAGGAAATATCTGAGTGCGTCCCAGGAAATGAGGGTAACCGTGTTCATTTCTGGAAGTTTTATTTTCATCTTCTCTGTGTATAGCGGGTCACCGTGGAAATGCGTTCGTCATGATGGAATGACAATTTATGTGCCTGCAATAAAAATAGAATCCATAAACACGAACGTAATTTAAAGAAGAGATGAGGGAGTGGGAAGAGGGGGATGTGTGCTCTTACTCAAACTTACTAGAATCATGACTCATCTTCCCTTAAGCGCTCATCTCCAGAACAAAACCCACAAAAAGCCAATAGCGAAAACTCGTACATGGCGAGTTCAGAATGCGGACGCCGCCACTGGACACGGGAGCGGCTTTTCTTTGCGTTCACTTCTTGTTTGTTTCTAGGATGTGTGCTAGATAACGAGGAAATTGTGGACACCCTGAGAAAATCCAAGATCACTTCCAATGAGATCTCCAAGCGCATCAGCGAGACGGAAAAAGCAGAAAGCGAGATCCAGGCCACGCGTAGAAACTACCTCCCCATCGCCACCCGGGGCGCCCTGCTCTACTTCGTCGTGGCCAGTCTGACCCAGATCAGCCACATGTACCAGTTCTCCCTGGACTGGTTCCGCCAGGTTTTCCTCTCCTCGGTCGTTTCCAAAGGCAAGGAGCAGGAGGAACACGGGCTGAAAAGGGAGAAAGCCCCTCCCAAGAAAGTTCACGAACTTGTAAGCCTCTCCAAAGAGTCCAAGTTGAAACCGGAGAAACCTCCCTTAGAGACGCGCCTTAAAAACTCCGTCGAGGTGCTGACCATGAATGTATTTAAGGTGAGGACAGCCTTTAAGGTGAATGCCGCACGCGTGTCTGCCCTCCCTGCGTTCGCCTAACGGTTTCCTTGTCCCCGTAGGTGGTCTCCGCGGCTCTGTTCAACCAGCATAAGCTCTGCTTCGCCTTCCTGCTTTGCGCCGCAATCATGAAGAACAACGCCAGCGAGGGTCCCCCCGCAGACGGCCTCGGGTCCCTCCCAGAGGAGGAGTGGAACCTCTTCCTCTACTCGGACATCTTGATAAACACCGACGGCGTGATGCCGCACCCCCCTCCATCGT